TTCAAAGAAGAAGTTGTAAAGGAGAATAGGCACTCAACTGTCCTGACTCAATCAGGGAGAATAGTCCATAAGAGTCATATCAGAAACTGACTTACTTATTTACCGGGTTTCCAGTTCTTAATTACAGGTTGCCTAGGGGTCACAGAAATATTGGACTACTCTCAATCAGAAGTGGTTCTTATAGAGAGTGGAATAGGAAAAATACAAACAGGGACATTCAAAATTTTGCATGTTATTAACATCAAGGAATATCATGACACTCTAGAGAGGATCAAGGACGACTTGGCCAAAGGAATTCCAGACAACCACCCACTACTCCCCTTCCTACATAATGACATTACTACCCTATCTCACCTTATAAATCGGCTAATGCCTGAAGAGAGATCTAAAAGATCTCTTGATGAGATTGGAACGGCGTGGAAATGGCTGGCAGGTAGTCCAGACCATGATGACCTTATGCTTTTGAAAAACAAAATCAATGAGTTAACAGACAACAGCAATAACCAGTTAATAATCAACAGAGATCTAATAGAAAGAATGCAGGAGATAACGAATGCGACAAATAGTATTTCAAAAATTTTAAAGACTAGTGAGGACTTCCGTAATACCCTCATATTGCAGGCAAAGTACAAAGTTGAAATTTTAAAGGAGGAAATAACGAATATTAATTCGGCCATTCATTTAACAAAATCCAACATTGTAAACACATTTATTTTATCGGAAATAGAAATTAGAAAAATAGAAGAAATATTTAATCAAGATGAAATCCCGTTTCAAAACATTGAACAAGCTTTAAATTTCGCACGAATAAAAATTGTAAACAATAGTACTAATATAATTTACATTATAAGCATTCCCAAAACTGTAAAAGAAATTTGTAATGTCATAACCATAAGACCTGTAAAAAATCAAAATACTGTTTTAAATCTTGATTATAAGAAAATTGTAAAATGTGAAAGAGCAACATTTGGAATTAAAAGTCCTTGTCAAAAAATAAATGGTATTGAATTATGTCTAGAATCTAATGTAGCCAATATAACAAACAATACATGTATTCCTAAATTAGTAACTAATAGCCCATATAATTGTTCAATAGTAAATGCAGATCACATTAATAATTTAGAGGAAATAGAACCTGGATTAATTTTGATAAATAACATAAAAGAAAATATTGTCATAAATGGAAACGAAAAAAATGTAACAGGAACTTATTTAATAAGATTTAGTAATTCTACAATTAGGATAGGCAACAAAAATTTCACCGTCGAAGAAGCTGCTTACTCCAAACCGTTGCCTGCGCTGCTAAAACACTCAGCTAGAAACAACTACACCGAAGAAATACTATCTCTACAACTACTAAAAACGTTGCACGTGAAAAGTAATAAAAGAATCGAGCGTCTAAATACTGAATTCAAGACCAGTTTATGTTTTAACATCAGTCTCATATTAGCATTGGTCATCCTCCTGATGGCAGTAAAAATGAGGCAAAGGCGCAAAACTAGTATGAAAATTATAAAAATGACCCCACATGAAGGAATGTCTAGACCTCAAATAGAAATGACTGTGTCAGAAAGCCAATTGGCAGCCGGCACAACAGAATCTGTTATCAAAACAAAACAACTAGCAAACCACAATATTAACTTGAATCAACGCGGCAGTCTTTATAATCTGCCATATTTCTAAACACATCAATCGAGACGCTTGATAATTCGAGAGGGAGGAGTTAACGGCTCACCCTAATAAACATCAAACTAAATATGCAAACCAACTAGTAAACATTCCCATCATTATGCTGCGCAAGCAGTCCGACAAATCAACAGGAATATGACACCAGGGCAGTCATCCGCCACAAACACGCGCACTAATACCAGCGCACCGCAAGTGATGACTCAGCGTAATAACGAGCACGACCAGGCTGCAGTATAATATTAGTTTTAAGTTGAAGGAATTCATAATTGTAAATCCAACAAGAGAGGTGCATAGCACCGCAACATAAATGTTAGTAACAAAATAAAGAAACACCATAGCAGTGTGAAATAAACTTTAACTTCTAACATTAACTTATATATCTTTATCCGATATCAGTTTTATTGTGCACTAAATGGCTAATGTAAGCCCAAATGGACTGAATCTTGGTAATTCCGACTGATTTCATCCTAGTTATAGCTCACATATATATGTTTCATCCGATTTGGGTTTTTAAGTTTCTCACACGCGTAACATGTACTCCACAATAATGGTATTTGGTACCACACAAATTATGGAGCTCAAAAATACCTCTGTCAAATTTTATCGAGATCGGATCGGATATAGCTCTCATATATATCTTTATCCGATATCAGTTTTATTGTGCACTAAATGGCTAATGTAAGCCCAAATGGACTGAATCTTGGTAATTCCGACTGATTTCATCCTAGAAACAAGTTCTTCAAATTTGGTGGAAAATCGGTTCAGATATAGCTGTAGCTCTCATATATATGTTTTATCCGATTTGGTGCCTAAGTCCTTCATAAGCGTAATATGCACTTCACAACAATGATATTTGATACCGGACATCCGATACAGCTCGAAAATACATCCGCCAAATTCTATCGAGATCGGTTCAAATTTTTATGTACCTTCAAAATACATCTTTACCCGGTTATTGTTTATCACATATGTAATGTCAGTCCGCATTGGATAGATTTTTTCATCCTGTATATATATTGTTCCAATAATATAATCATGCACAGCAATGTTATTTGGTACTAGAGGTACAAATGACTCAGCAATGTTATTTGGTACTAGAGGTACAAATGACTCCGTCAAATTTGTTCAAAATCGATTCAATGTTGGATATAGTTCTCAAATTGTGGCTGCTCTAAAACCATGATACATATTCAAATAAGGTTAGTATGATCGACTCCATATTCCCAATATACATTTTTGTGTTACGAGCTCTACTAAATGCGCATAGCAGTGTAGGGCATCATATTGTCGGCCCGCCCGACTTTGGACCTTTTCTTAATGGTTTTATTTACTATAGCAAATTCCAAATAACAGATATAGCATACACCTCTCAAAAACTAGACCTAGGCACTTATATATAAATTTTAAAATATGCCACTTTTTAACATATTTTTGTTTGTTTTTTCATATTGTTTTACATGTATGTTCACCAAGTAGAATTATATGGGGATTACACCTACATACAAAAGTGAGTAGATCGCAATATAATAATCAAACAAAATAAAATAAATAAGTGCTACAAACGATTATATCTTCGCCAGGAAGATATTTTTATTCAAATCTACCATTTTGTTGTACAATGATTGTATATTACAGAGTTACCTAAAATTCGACGTCTCAATCGACGTTTTTCGCCACACAACTTAAACACAACTTAAACGTCGAAATTTCAAAGCAGAACATACTTCACATCGAAAATTTAACAATTTCTTATTTAGTGTGTTGAAAATAGAAATGAAGAATACAAAAAAAAATTGAAAATTTGGAAAATAAAAAAAATGGGACAAAAATTATGTAACACCTCGAAATATTGGTTTCCCACATAGGAAAGTATATATGGATCTTCCTATCTTGCCGAGCTGAGTCGTTCTAGCTATGTATGTCCGTCCGTCCGTGTGTCCGTCTGTCCACGTTAATTTGTAATCACTCTACAGGTCGCAATTATGTCCCGATTTTCACGAAATTTAAAATGGAGGTGGGATTGAGCCAGAATAGAAGCCTATTGCTTTTGGATATGATCGCATAATATTTAGGGGTTAATATGGAACAAAAACTGACAATTTTCCTGATTTTGCAGTTGCTCTACAGGTCGCAATTATAGATCAATCGAAAAGGAAGTTAGCATGAGGCTAGGCTTGGGGCTGGACAGAAGGCTTCCATAATATTTAGTGGATGAAATCGACCATATCATTTGTGTTAAATAAAAGTCAAATTTTCCTTTAACCCCGAATATTTTTAATACTGGCGAAATCACTAATAGACGAAAAGGTCAATTCTGAGCGTTACGTAGATGCCGTAAGTAAATATATCTGATATATATAGCGAAATATATACAATGTATATATACAGAGGAAGGGGATGTTAGCTAGAATGCATATATCTCAAGAACGGCTGGACCGATTTTGACAAATTTTGTCAATTCAAAATGCCCTCTAGGCATAAAAAGTATAAAAAATCGCATTTAAAAATAATGAGGTCAATATAGATTTTGTGACATATTTTATTTTTCCATATTTTTTATCGGATGTGATTTTTTCAATTTGACTTATAACATTGATGAAGTTAGAGTTTAGGACACCGGGTAGAATGGACCACTACTTTTGTGTTAAAAAATACCAACATTACTTACAGGCGAACTTCGGGGTTTCTTATGCTAATTTCGTTGAGGAATTTAGCCAAATATCGTAGACAAGCAAATCATATAGATGAGTCAAAATTTAGAGATACAGAGGGGCCTCTTGCTTTGAACCAAAAACAGAAAAAAATTCCTGATCACACAATTAAAGTCAATCGATCACACAATTGAAGTCAATCGACTTCAACTCTGAGAAAAGAATTAGGGACAGACAAGATTTCTAGCATTTTGAATGACCATTGGATTATATTTTGCTATAAAATGGACCACAACAACTAACAGCACGAGGGAGTGCGTAAATATTGAGAAACTGTCCCTGGTCAAAATGCTAAGGGCAATATCTGGACAGTGCTCCGTGACATAATTTTAAAAAGCGAAATATTCCAAAATGGATTTGAACATAAGAGGGCTTCTAATATATTGTAGTATTGCAGAGTAGCACATGGTCGGCCCCGCACGGCTATAGCCTTTGCTTACTTGTTTATACAATGTTGGAAGAATTTAAGATATGGACCTGGCGTATTTGGGAGATACGGACGTACAAATCGTTTTACCATAGGGTGGAAGTTAAGTATTTTTCTAACATAAGTAAAATTTTAGGTAACGCTTTTAAAGACGATTTTAGATTTGTTTAATATTATATTATTATTGTTGTTTAATTTCATTTCTAAACTTTTCATTATTGTACTTTTCTTAAATAATATAGTTAATTTCTAGTTTATTAAAATTTATGCAATATTTTGTTGAATCCATTCAACATATGAACTAACGCGCATATATACTCCCGGCAAATTAGATTGCCCACAATTTGTTTTGGGGCCAAATGCGACAATACCTAAGAGGGTATATCGACCACTTCTCGAACGATTCATAAATGGTCCACCACTATCACCTAAAAAATTAGTAACGTTTACAATATTTCTTTAAACTATTTATTGATGTCAAGTCACCATATACCTTCACACACATCCCTTTTGGCTTCCGATTGAGCACAAAACTCGCTTGGAGTTATCACAATGCTATTTTCAAAGTTTTCACTGTATTTGGCGTAACGTATGGCACATTCTGTATTATTTAGAACGGGTAGGTTTATGTAGCGCACCTTAGAACTGGCAACATTGGAAATTCCTGTAAAAAATATATTTATCAATACATTTGTCTATAAATAAAAAATAATAACTAACCATTATCACTCCAACCGGCCACAATACCTGTATTGCCCATCGCTATTTCACTATCGTTTTGAGGTAAGCAAATTTGTACAATTGGTACTGCAAATAAGTAAAACGCATTTAAATCACCAATATATTGCTTGTAACGTATTTTCATTTCTTACTTTTTGCATTGTGTGTCTTGGCCAATCGGACAAGAGCAACATCATTATTGAATAATGGATCATTGTAGGCAGGATGTATTGTGGTCTCGATTATTTTAAAATCTTGAAAGTTAGTATCATCTCCAACACGAGCGTAAATACTAAAACAAGAGAAAATATTTTTAGATTATACTCGTATTATTTTAAATGTCATATCAAATAGTGATTGAAGTCATTGTACTTACAGTCTTAAATCTCTCACCAAGTTATCTACACAATGGGCTGCGGTTAAGATGTGCTGTCTAGTAATTATTGTACCCAGGCAACGATGACGTACAGTTCGGCTAGCTGGGAAGAATAATACAGAATTCTATTACAAATGCTCTTCGCCAATGGTGGGTGTATTAAATTTGTCAGTCAGTTTGTAACACGTCGAAATTGATTATTTGGTAATTAGAGTTTTTCCCTGGTCGGTATTCAAAATGGGCAAACAGCCCATGGCAAGGAAGAGCCACAATATAAAAATACTTCGAATGATTTGGTATTTTGAATATTTAAGTCAAGACTTCCAATTTCCAAAATTTCCATTTTATAACATACTTCGGATTTCGGGTTCACAGCATGTAGAATCTCTTCAGAAAATAAAAAGCCTTGTACTTGCAGTAAGATTTTTTACATAATTACAATATGTGATATAGCTTCATGTAGCGGTACGTTCTGACACTACTAATCATAATTTTCAATTGAAGTCCAGGTTTTGAAATAGCTTACATATAACACTTGAGAGTAAGGTTTGGGGATTGGATTCTGCAAGAATCTACTACATCTTTTTCAGTTGTAATTCAAATAATTTTTGATTTCAATCATAATATTCCATATGTTATTCGAGAATTTCATTTGTAATTCTTCTTGCCTTACTCGAGCATTTTGTATTACCGCATCACTTAGACATGACGTAATCATATCTATTTTCCTATATTTTGTTATTATACCCTCCACCTTGCAAAGGAGGGTATATTAACTTTGTCATCAACATCCCTAAATATTCGTCCCCATATAATGGTACCTCTCGATATTCGGTATTTTGATGTTTTTTTTCTACATTATTTTGTTTAAAGTGAGTATGGTATATTCTAGCTCGTGTGGCGAAACATGGTATGTGTATGTCCGCATTTTGGTATAGCCACATATAACGGTACCTCCCGATATTCGGTATTTTCATGGTTTTTGGCACATTTTTTGCGGATTTGTCTAAAAATTGGTATTTGCAGGTCATAACGGGTTCTAGCTACGGTAGCGAAACATTGCATGTTTGGTATAGCCCCCATATAACGGTACCTCCCGATATTCGGTGATTTGATGATTTTTGCCACATAAATTGGTATTTGTTGTTCGTAATGGGTTCTAGCCCAATGGCAGAACAATGAATATTTAGTTCCTCGTTTTCCTAAAGCGCACATATAACAATACTCACCGATATTAGGTATCTTGATAATCCTAGTCATATTTACCCACATAATAGTTTCTAATTTGGTATTTTAGAAGATTTGATAGAAGACAATCCTAGAAGTATAAAATAGTCTATAGAGGTTCCCGTTTTGGTATGGCCCCATATAACGGCCTGGCTCACTTATGGTTATTTAATAAGTTTAACTGCATTATCTAAACGGTCTTACTGGTATATGAAGTTTAAAGTGAAATACGCTTGAATGTAGATGCTTTTATATAATGATTCCTTTACCCTACAATTTCGGCCGGGCCGAACATTGAATTACCTCTACTGTTTAGAATGAATTTGGAAATTCAAAAAAAAAAAAAATTAAAAATATGTAAATAAATAGAATCCGTTAAAAATTTTGTTAAAAAACATCAAAATTACGAATATAGGGAAGTGCTGCAATTTTGGAGTCATACGAAGACCTGCATGGACGATTTTCTGTCATAGGCTGTAGTACCCATTAGGAACTTCTAACACGAAATTTGAAACAAATCCGATAGATAATGTCGCTAAAATCATGAAAATAACAAATAGGGAAGGGCTCAAAAAACGGAATGTAGAAAGGTGCAGATATATGGGGGCTATACGAAGACCTAAGCTTGCATAGACAATTTCCTCTCACAGACTGTAGTACCTATTAGGAACCTCAAATACGAAATATGAAACAATTGTGATAAATGATGCCGCTAAAATCATCAAACTGACAGAAGTACCCATTATAAACTAAAAATACGAAATTGGAAACAATTCCGGTGAGTATTGCAAGTAAAATCAACAAAATACCGAATATAGGGAGGTACTGATATGTGGGGGCTATACGAAGGCATGGACTTGCATAGACAATTTTCTTTCAGAGACTGTCGTGACTATTAGGAACTTCAAATACGAAATTTGAATCGACTCCGGTGAAGAGTGTCGCTAAAATTATCAAAGTAACGAATAAAGGTTGGTAGAGTTATATGGTGGCTATAACTAAACGTGGACCTACATAGTCCATTTCTAATACTAAAAGTACTGCAGATGAAACACACATTTGAATAAAATTTCATCAACCTACTTCAATTTTTTCGGAAGCTAGAGTGATTTCCACAGACAGACACGATTATCCTTAAATCGAAATAGAATTCTATGCCGATCAAGAGTATATGTATATACTTCGTGGAGTTTAAAATTTTTATTTTGAGGTTTTACAAATGAAAAATTTAATATGCCCTCCACATACTATGGTGGAACGATTTATGGGAATACTTTCAAGATTTTGATGCCTATTAATATTAAAGAATGTGGAATTTAGTTTATTAAATAAATTAGAAAAAATATTGGCAATGAGCAGCGCGTTCGGCTTTCTCAATTCGAATATTTAATTGTCTATGGACGCACTGTCCAAGTTAAATAAAAAATTAAATTTTAAGTAAAGGAGGCGGCCAGAATTATATGTATATTCACATTGTTAAGATTCCATATATTTAGAAAATAGTCTTATTTTTTATAGATTCAGAGCAAAAAATGGATGACGATCGAGAAGAAACTACCAAACCAGAGGATCCCCAACCTATAAGATCACTATTAGAAAATATCAGTGACCTATCGGATCATGTAAAACAATGTGCCTGTGGCTTTCAAATGACTGAAGCAAGATGGTGCCTGTGCCGCAGTATAAGTGTATTTTTAGTTGGCGTTGCTCTAGGCATCAAATTGCAAGATGTTGTCCGAAATGTCATGAATAATTAATATATCTTATTACATTTCTTATGTGTACTTACTTGTATTTAAATATGCTAGTCTAACAATCCATGGATAAACTTCTGAACTTTGGCCCTTTGGCAATTTACCACAATCTGGAGACTGTGAATTTGTTGGCAATGGAAAGGGTGTGGTCGTTGATACAACAAAAGTGTGTTCCTTATTGCGATGTGGCACATTGTAATCTTCATCATCATGACCATGATAGTGATGGTGGTGATGATGATGATGGAAGGGATAAAGTGGTGCATTAAAATTATGATCATATCCTTGATAGTCTGGATGTGGCGTTGGCCTTGGATAAGTTGGACTGTCGTCAGTGGGAAATTTAAAACGACCACAATTGTTAGATTGAGTGCAGAGAATTCCATTTATATCGACTTTTTCTCTTTTATCGGACCCCTCTTTCTTATTGGAATTATAGCTGTCGTCTCCTTCACTATCATCTTCCGGATGCTGTTTTAAGTATTCATCATAGTTGTACTCTTCACCAAAGGACGGCGGGCAATTTAGGCCAGTCAATTCATCTAAATAATCTAATTTTGGATTTCCCTTTGCATGTCTTTTATTGGGAATTCTCGGAGGACAACAGACGAAAATGTTTGTTCCGTCAAAGTCACAGATGGCTTGTTTAATTATATTCGTAATGAATGGTATATCGGTTGAGAGATCTATGAATTCATTAAAGGTCTCACAGTTTTTTAAGAGAATACAATTACACTTCCTGGAATCGTCGGTGGGGTATGTTAAAGCTGGAAAGAAGGAAATAGTTAAATAAATTAGTGATGGTAACAACGTAATCAAACTGACATCGAGCTCGAGAAATTATTCAATTAATTAGAAGAAACAAGTTCCATTCAAGCATGTGAGTATGTTATGACAAGGATTAAATTAAAGCTGAAGATAAAAATCTTTTACACAAAAGCACGCATTCGAATTTATAAAATGAAACCAGTAAGGAAGGCTCAAAAGTCGAGCGGGGCCGACTATATGATAACCTACACCACTATGCATGTTTCGTAGAACTCTTGTAAAAGAAAGGTTTATATTGCAATTTCTGAGCTCTGTGACATATCTGGTACAAAATATCACTATGGTAGAGTGCATATTCCGAAATTGGGAGATTTAAAAACCAAATCGGATAAAACATATATATGGGAGCAAATTTGAAATTTTTCCTTCTATGCCAAACTCGGTTGAATTTCGAAAATTCACTACATTTGGGCTAATATTAGCTATTTGGTGCACAATAAACCTGAAATCGAATAATGATATATATGGAGGCTATATCCAAATCTGAGCCAATCTTTATAAAATTGAAAACAGCTATTTCTTGGCTAAATCTGATATCTGGTACCAAATATTATTCTTGTATTGTGCATCAAATTATAAGTACTTTTTTCTATACTGAAGTGCCAAAATTCACACCATTTGGACTGATATAAGCCAGAAAGAAACCAAAAATCGGATGAAGATATATATGGGAGCTATATCCAATATCGGAACCGATCTTGATAAAATTTGAATCATGAATTGTTAGGCTGTATCTGATATCTGGTGCAAAATATCAGTCTCGTGGAGTGCATATTACGAATTTGAGTGACTTAAACACAAAATCGGATGAAGATATATATGGGAGCTATAGCTATATCTCAACCGATTTTCACCAAATTTGAAACACATGCTTGTAGGCTGAATTCGATCGGATGTAGCAAAATTCACACCATTTGGACTGATATTGGAGCACAAGAAACCTAAAATCGAATGAAGATATAATAGGGTTCGTCCTTGAGCCAAACAAATGTTATTTAGAAAATGTCATCTCAATCGAATAATAAATGCGACCTCCATTTTGTTTACAAAAATATATGGACAGACGGACGGACGGACATGCATAAATCGACTCAAAATGTGATTCTATGCTGATCACCAAAAGGAACTGTAGGTCTATCTCGTTTTCTTCTCCATGTTACAAACAAATGTACAAAGACATAATACCCTTACCACTATGTGGAGTAGGGTATAAAAAGGAACAAGTAAAAACCAGTAAAGAAAGTCTTAAAGTCGGGCGGGGCCGACTTTATGATACCCTACACCACTTTGCTAATTTAGTTGAGCTCCGCATAACAATTAAAAGTTTTTATAGGAGAATTCAATCATACACGCTATGATTATAATTATAATTTATAGTTCTAAGGACTAAATATGCCGAAGCATATTGTATTAAATACGGACTTGTATTGCCCATTTGGTGCAGAATTCATTTGAAATCGGATAAAGATATATATGGGAGCTATATCCAAATCGGAACAGATCTCGATAAAATTTGGCAAAGAGCTGAGCTGTATTTGATATATTTCCCTGAATATCGTTGTTACGGAGTGCATATTATGGCTGTGGGTAACAAATATAACAAATCGGAGGTGCAAAATTCCATCCCATTTGGGCAAATATTAGACGTTTGGTGCGCAATAAAAGGTAAATCGGACGAAGTTATATATGGAAGCTATATCCAAATTTTAACCGATCTCGATAAAATTTTGCAAATGTATTTCTGAGCTGTATTTGATATATTTCCCAAATATTGTAGTTACAAAAAGCATATTACGGCTGCGGAGGATAAAAATAACAAATGGGATGAACAATATATATGGGAGCTATAACTATATCTTAACCGATTTCGAACAAATTTGGCATACTTATTTTCAGGCCTAATTTGACATAAGACATAATACTGACTGACTGACACCTGACCACCTTGTGGTGTAGCGTATAAAGAATATAATCCATTATTTAGAAGTAACTTGAAATTTTTCAAAAAAACATATTTATTGAAAAATACTGTTACAATTATAACAAGTAAAAGGACATTAAGTTCTGCCGGTCCGAACTTCTAATACCCTCCACCATTGGGTAAAGAAAACATTTTTAGAACAGTGTTGGTATGTTTGTTCGGGATACCGTAGTAAAGTCGCATTAAAATATTATAGTAAAAATGTGAATAATTTTGTTACATTTTGTGGGTTCAGTATTGTACATTTTCGCATTTAACCTAAGTCTTGTCTAAAAAATATGTATCATTATTGAATTATGTCAGATATTCAATTCACTTAATATTGTACCTGTACTTTTTTTTACAAAATGTTGAATTTGTATGGGGTACCAGATGAAGTGGAAAAATATTGCCCATATCCCAACTCGATTCAGTTAAGCAAAAATATTACGATGTACCAAGAATTGATCCCTTCGAGGATTACCATGCGCAACAGACAGCCAGACAAATAGACAGAACAACATAACTAGATCGACACCAAAAAAAAAAAAAAACCGACAGTTAAAACTGGTTTCGTCCATAGATACATGGGGTCTAAAGTTTTTATTTTCAATGTGGCTATTTTAGCCGTATTAAATGATATATAATATACAGAATAGTCAATGACTCTCTCTCTCTTAAAACAAAAAAAAAACTTTTTACTATAAAAACGACAACCTCCTACAAGAAATATAGACAATATACTTGAATTAAAGATCCAATAAACAAAAAATCTGAATAAACGGGCAATCCCCGATAAAAAGTAGTATTTATTACACCTAATTCTTAGTTCCATTTTCATATTCCGAAATATTTATGGAAAACAGACCATGTAACTTTCATAAAAATTAATAATAACCAAGTAAATCTAAAATTAGATGGAAGAATATTGCAGGCACAAAACGTATACAAAAGGGTTTTTATAATATAACGGGAAATAAAGAAAACCAGTAATGAACAAGTAAAAAAGCAGTAAGTTCGGCCGAGCCGAACTTTGAATACCCTCCACCATTTGGAACGAATTAGAAAATATTAAAAAAAAGAATAAAATCCATTGAAAATTCTGTTAAAATCTTTAAAATGCCTAATATCGGAAGGTGCCGATATATGGGGGGATATACGCTATTGTGGACCTATATAGACAAATCTATGTCTGGGGATAAAGTACTCACAAGAAACTCCTTGTGTGGATTTTCAGATAATTCCATTGGGAAATGTGGCTAAAATCATCAAAACCCCGAATATAGGGAAGTACTGTTATATGGGAGATATACGATATCGTGGACCTATATAGACAATTCTTTTTGAGGGGATAAAATGCCCACAAGGGAATCCTTTTGTGGAATTTCAGACAATTTCATTGAAAAATGTGGATAAAATAATCAAAATACCAAATATCGGGGGTACCGTAATATGGGGGCTATACGATATTGTGGACCTATATAGATAATTCTCTGCCGAGGTATAAAGTACCCACAAGGAACTCCTTGTGTGGATTTTCAGACAATTCCGTTGAAAAATGTGGGTAAAATCATCAAAATACCGAATATCGGGGGGTACAGTTATATGGGGAATATACGATATCGTGGACCGATATAGCCCTTCTTCGAACTTGACCTGCCTGCAGACAAAAGAGAGATCTGTGCAAAATTTTAGCTACCTATCTTAATTCGTTTAGACTGTAGCGTGATTACAACAGACGGACAGACGGACGGACGGATAGACGGACGGACTTAGAATTTTACGCTGATCAAGAATATATATACTTTGTTGGGTCTAAAATGATTATTTCGATGAGTTACAAACGGAATGACGAACTTAATATACCCTCCATACCTTTTTTGGTGGAGGGTATAAAAAACAAAATTCGGAAGGGGTCGACTATTTGATACCCTACACCACCATGCATATCTAGTGGAACTATCCGTAACAAATAAACGTCTATATTGGGAATTTATGTGAAGTAGATTATACCAACTATGAACTTTTTTCTAAATGTGTATTATGGCGGATATCCAGATGTATATCAAACTCTGAACCGATTTTCGCAAAATTTGACGGAGGCATTTGTACCTCTGGTACCAAATAAAAATGTTATATCATATCATATGACTTCGAGAAGGCTTAAATTAAAATCAGTTAGGAAAAGACAAAAGTCGGACGGGCCGACCATATGATACCACACACCACTATGCATATTTAGTAGAGCTCCCATAACAAAAGAATTTATTTGAAGTAGATCATACCTCCTATCATCCTTTGGCTTTAGAGCAGTTATAATTTGGATAGGATAGGATATATATGAGAGCTATATCCAAATCTGAGTCGATCTCGATACAATTTGGCAAAGGTATTTCCGAACTCTATAAGATATCTGGTACCAAATATCATTGTTGTGGAGTGCATATTACGAATTTGAGGGCTTTAAAGACCAAATCCGATGAAACATATATATGGGAGCTATAGCTATATCTGAACCGATTTTCACCAAATCTGACGTACTTGCTTCTAGACTGAATTCGGTCGTATGTGTTGAAATTTAGGTCTAAATTGGATCCAAGCTATATCTAAATTTGATCCGATTCTCACCAATTTCAATAGGGTTCATCCTTGGGCCAAACAAATATTGTTTGGAAAATTTCATCGCAATCGGATAATAAATGCGACATGCTTTTTGTTCACAAAAATACATGGACAGGCGGACGGACAGACGGACTTACATGCATAAATCAACTCTAAAAGTGATTCTATCAAGATCCTAAAAAGTAACTGTGGATCTATCTCGTTCCCTTCTTCATGTTACAAACAAATGCACAAAGACATAATACCCATACCACTATGTGGAAAATATCATCTCAGTTGGACGATAAAAGAGACCTGCAGTTTGTTCACAAAAAAACATGGACAGACGGACGGGCACGCATACATCGACTCAAAATG